CTAGGGATTTCAAAGAATAAAATGTTATATCCACAATTTAGTAAGAACCATAATGGTAATGCAAAAGAAAAGTCTACAAATGTAAATTACTCAAAAGTGAACCTCTACAAAACAGGCATTCTCATACAATGCAATGAGAGTATGAAGTGAGACCACTATTTTGAAAACAGTTTAGTTGTATATTGAGATTCATGGATGTTTACATCCTCTATTCTCATAATTCCTCTTCTAGAAGAGGAAACTCAGAGTGATGGCCTACATTTGGAGTCACTTTTCTCCTAAAAACTGTTGTTAATTTGAAAGCAGCAGCTAAGAAGCTGAGAAGTTAATAATATATTGGCAGTTTCATAGGACCAGGTGAATAAAAATTGGGTTTCAGGGCCTATCCAGAAAGAGGGTAACTGATAAACAACACAGGTTTTCAGCTGGAACTTCAAAGGGTCACCCAATAGTAGGGCTATATTCAATATAGGCCATCCTAATTGGAGCTGAGGCATAGCATCAAATCATTTCACACCCTGGTTTGATTAAAGTGATTTACCCCCAATTTAGATGGCTGCCAGAAGCTAAAGTAAATCCTTTATGGGTTGAGAAAATGCTATATGGAGTCTTAAACTATCTCTGAAGCTTTTTTTTTTTTTAATCTATAATACTAGGCACTAAGTAAACAATAACAAGGCATACAACTGAAAAATCTCTCCCCGCCCCCCGCCAAAAAAGAGAAAGAAAGAAAGCAAAAAGAAAATCCATAGAAGAAAAGAAAATGTTTACTAATCATATATCTGATGGGACTAGTATCCAGATGATATGAAGAACTCTATAACTCAACAACAACAAAAAGAGAAGCCAGTTTAAAAATGGGTAAAGTGCTGGGTGTTATATGCAAACAATGAATCATGGAACACTACATTGAAAACTAATGATGTAATGTATGATGACTAACATAACATAATAAAATAACATTTTAAAATAAATAAATAAATAAATAAAAAGGGGGGGGGGAGTTAACCAAAAACTAAGGTTAAAATGGACACTATAAACAGGCCTTGGTGGTACAGATATTATTGTTATCTGACAGGGATTTTAAAATAACAATGACTGAGTATTCAAGGAATTAAATGACAAGATAGAACTGGAAACTAAATATTTTATTGGTTTATTCTTATTAAATTATCAAAAGGAAATTCTAGAACTAAAAAAATCCAATAAGAGAAATTACTATTTCAGAAGTAGATGGGTTTAACAATATATTTGATGCAACAGAAGAGAGAATTATTGCACTAAAACATTCTTAGAAGAAAATACCCAGGCTGAATTGCAAAGATATTAGAAGAACAGAAACAAGCATAAGGATAAATAGAGAAAGATAAAAAAAATATATACCTACTTGTAATTGAAGTTACTTAAGGAGAGGAGACACAGATTAAGGTATAACAGTACTAGTGGAAATACAGCAGAGAAGGTTCTCAAACTAATGAAAGACATCAAGCCACAGATGCAAGAAGCACTACCAACTCCCAGAAAGATAAAAGATGGAAAAATAAAAACCCAAACCTCTGGGTGCATATTGGAAAAACTTCTATAACAGAAGACATAAGAGGAGTGCCGGGGTGGCCTTAGTCAGTTAAGCCTCAGTCGGTTAAAATTCTTGATTTTTGGCTCCATGCTGGGTGTGGAGCCTGGTTAAGATTCTCTCTCACCCTCTTTCTCTGTGCCTCCTCTCCAACCCCCCTTTAAACAAAGAAACAAACAAACAAATGAAAAATTCAAGACATAAGGAAAATCTTAGCCAGAGAAAAAGGAAACCTACCTTCAAAGGAACAATAGAAGATTGGGAGTGGTTTATCATTAAAAAAATAGAAGACAGAAGACTCTGGCAACATTTCTGGCACACAATTTAAAAATTTATAAGTGGATATTAGTTTTCTATTGCTTGCAATAACAAATTATCACCATTATAGCAACTTAAAATAACATGAATAATATTCTTTTATTACAGCACAGTTCTTCTTCTAAAAATACGTGTATATATATTTAAATGCTATTTTATTTAAATACTATGAACTCAATCATAAAAATGTAAAACAACCTTATAGAAGTGGAAAAAATAATATGAACATGGAATTCACAGAAGAAAACTGGGTGGCCAATAAATAGCTTATTCAATTGCACTATAATCAGGGGAAAATAAGTTAAAATAACAATGAGATACCATTTTGTACCCATTGTATTGAAAATATTAAGAAGTCTGAAAATTTCAAGTGTTGGTAGGAATGTGGGGAACAAGAAGTACTACTAATACTTGCATAGACAGTGGGTAAAACATGCAATGGTATGAAATATCATGTGTTGGGATAAATCCTTTGTGGTTGAAGTTCAAGCAAACTAGGAAGTGGGAAAAAAAGAGATTAACAAGGCTAGCAGATTATGTAGGGCCTTGTTTCCATGCTATGAAGTTGGTGTTTTCTCTGGAAGGAAATGGTCAGTTATTGCAATATTTATCCTTGCTCTGGATAGCAAACAAAGACTGTTCTGAAAACAAAACAGAGAATAGTTAGGAGGGTACAGAACTGGAGAAACCAGTTAGGACACTGTTACAATATCACACAGAGGTGAGGAGGATCTAATGAAGACAACAGCAATAGATGGAAATAGATGGGGAAAAGAGGATGGTTTATAGAAGATAAAAGGATAGAATCAATAGTATTTGTCACAGATAAGGCAAGAAAGTTAAGAGATTGAGAAAGTAATTGAAACTTCAGACATGGCCAACAGGATAAATGATGATGCAATTCACTGAAGTAGGTTTCCCACCCTTCCAAAATGATGAATTCAATTTGGGGCATGTTGATTCAGAGGCATCTTTGGGGTCTGTGGTGGTCAATTTTTTCTATGGGTCCAAAGCTTAGCAGGAAAATCTAAGGAAGAGATTTAGATTTAGCAGTCATCAGTGTATTAATGGTTACTGATGCCCTGTTCATAGGTGATATCACATATATGGAATGTGATGAGAATAAAAGATGGTTAAGGAAGAATCCCAGGGATCAATGTCTGAGAGATAGATGAAGAAGAAAAATCTGAAAAAGAGACTAAAAAGATAAAAAGAGAGAGAGAGAGACTGAAAAGGAGCAACTAGACAGAAGGAAAACAGGGACTTGGGTAAACAAGGAGAGGAGTTCCAAAAAAGAAAGCATATCTGGTAAAGGCAAATACCACAGAGACATTAAGACAAAGACTAAGTTAGTGGGAATGTAAGTTGGTGTGGCCACTATGGAAGAGTATGGAGGTTCCTCAAAAAATTATCATATGATCCGGCAATTCTACATCTGGGTATTTACTGAAAAATGAAAACAATCTCAAGAGACAGATATATGCCCACCCTTGTCTTCATTGCAGGCTATTTAAGATAGCCAAGATAATGGAAGCAACCTAAGTTGCCCATTAATAAATGAATGGATAAAGAAGATGTAATATATATATATTATTCAGCCATAAAAAAAAGAATGAAACCTTACCATTTCCAACAAAATGAATGGACCCAGAGAATATAATGCTAAGTGAAATAAGTCAGACAAAGACAAATACTGCATGATTTCACTTATATATGGAATCTAAAAACAGCAACAACAAATGAACAAACAAAACAAGACAGAAAAAGACTCATAGATACCGGAAAAAAACTATTGGTTACTAGAGTTAGGAGGGGCCGGGGGCAGATGAAATAAACCTATTTCACTAATGAAATATTAGTGTCCCTCGATTTTTTTTTTACCATGACTTTCAGTAAGAAATATGTAGCCTTATCATGAGAATTAAATGAATATCTACAAGTTCACAATGCCTTCCCCAAAATATTTGGGGACTTGATCTGTTTCAAAATTCAGAACTTGGGGGATTTCAGAAAAGTAATATGATGACTAGAACACATATTATGTAACACCCCATCAGGGCTTAGAAAAGTATCCAAAATCAAACATTAATTTGTCCACAGCCAAACATATGAATAATTCACACAAACCACAAATAAAGACTATAAATAGACGCCCCCAGTTTCAGGTCAGATTTTGCCACCAAAGGAATTCAGGTCAGATTTTGTTTCAAATGTATTCTTTTCCAAGTTTTTCTTTAAATTCCAGCTAATTAACATTAGCATTACAGCTAATATTAGTTTTAGCTGTAAAATTTAGCAATTCATCTCTTATATACTACACCTGATGCTCATCAAACATCAAAAGCATTTTTTTAAGTTTTGGGGTTTTTCAGAACTTTATGGATTTTGGAATTGTGGATATGAATTTGTAGATATAGATGTAATCTTTAAAAAGTGCCCAGCACATAATAAGTATTGGTTATTACTATTGGCATTTCATTTTTAAAATGACAGCTATAACCCACCAAATGGATTTCATGATGTACTATTAGGTTGTGACCCACACTCTGAGAAATGCTAACATATAAATGTTTATTAGCCTACTCCCTGGTACATATTAGGCTCTTAACACATGTTAGAGGGAAAAATTACCATCTTATATTTGCATAATATTTTAAGTTTGCAAAATTCTTTTAAGCACATAGTTGCTATTTATCTTCACAGTAACTTTATCAGAAATAATCTAAATGGTTTACCTTTCCTCTTTATTTACTTGATAGTTTCATGTCTCATGCTTTTTTGAAGAATAAAAGGAAATTTAAATAATGATAATCACATCTTCCTATGGCATTTATACCTTGACACTTTTTAAGTTTTCTTTATTATTTATACTTTGGCACTTTTTAACTTCCTTGTGAAAGAGATAATTTTGTTGCACAGATAAATAGAACTAAGAGATCAAACCATATGTCTTAGGTTATAAAATACACCATTTCTGTGTAGAATGTGTCCAGTAGAATACACAGCAATTTAAAAGTTGTACTTCTAAAGCATGCTATTCAGTTCTTAAAATGAGCTAAAGATACATTTCTCTAAAGTTACCTTATAATCTTTGTGCTTTATTTTTTAGTGCTCTTGGAGACATTAAAATAGCTGAAGTAAATTTCAAGGGTTTATTTGTGAAACTCATTAACTCTTCCCTTGACAAAGAACTGGAGATTGGAGGTCATATTCTCCAGCAAAATATGAATGGACAAACAGTCTCTTTGTACCGCTTCCCTCCGAATATCATAATGCAGGCCAATTGCACAATAACAGTGAGTATAAGATATAAATGCTATGATCTAGAATTTTACAGGAAAAACTCCTTCACCCAGCCAGACTGGCTTAGCACCAGTTTCTTCATCACTCGATCTCTAGGTAAAATGTGATTCCTTGTTGTTTGTTACTTGTCCCACTTTGTCCATCCCTGAATGTAAATAATGCCCATAATTAAATTTCCATGGCTTTCCTCAACCGGGTGTACAATACCTTTTGGGATTTTTAAAGATTTATTTATTTATTTGAGACAGAGAGAGCGGGGGGAAAGGGCAGAGGAAGAGGGAGAGAGAGTCTTAAGCAGACTCCACGTTAAGTGCAGAGCTCACTCTCATAACCCTGAGATCATAACCGAAGCGAAACCAAAAGTCGGTGAGGTAACTGAGGTAACCGACTGCGCCACCCACGCGCCCTGAATACCTTTTGTTTTTATGATTCAACTATTAAAACAAAATACCTAAGTTCCTAAAACTAAGCAAATATAATCCTTAAAAGAAAAACAAAGAGATTGTTTGCTTAGAGAACAGGTAATTAGCTGGTGCTGGAAGGTTTCCTCTCTTTCTTGTGCTTTCCTTTAAACCATGTACAGTTACACAGCTTGACATTATATATTATACAGTCATATTTTAAAACCTCATTTGTTTAGAATGATACATTGCAATGACCCTCTGACATATACAAAACTATATGGAACTCAAATGGCATTTGTCATTAACAGACCATTTTCTTACAGGTGTGGGCAGCTGCATCTGAAGCAAAGCATCAGCCACCATCAGATTTTCTTTGGAGAGAACAAAACAAGTTTAGAACAAGCCCAAATTGTACAACGATTCTGTGCAAACCTAATGGTGAAGTCAGTGTCCTATTCTTAACGATAAGTTTTAAAAGAAGAATGGATAGCTGTCCTTAGGTTCCCCTTCTCTTCTTAGCTGACTCAAGTACTTTCCATCCTTAATAGCTTAAACCATCACTAACTGCAATAACATGTCAGGTAAATCAACAGCACCCTGTTCCCAGGGCCAAAGTGCCAAAGAGCTACTTTTAATTTGGCAAAAATAATTTTTGTGGCCCATATTTCCAAGAAGTTACTTCAAATTTGAGTCAAGGATGGATTTTATTTATGATACTTAGACTGAAGAGTGGAATAAGAAAGGAAGGTACCACGTAGAGATCTTTTCTGTTCATTTATTAATTTCTCAAATATTTGTTGAGATTATTCTCTATTCCAATGGCTGTAATAAGTGCTGAGAATGTAATGTAGAATAGGACATGATATCTGCTCTTAAGAGACTAATATTCTAATGATAGGATCCATAGTCTAATTTGTAACAACTATACATTATTCACTATAAAATTAAGTGTATTAGTAATAATTTTGGGTAACTCATTCCCAGTATTTGACAGTTTTATATTTTCATTCTACCTTTTCCTTAGCATAATATGAGCATAAATATATGCCCAAATACACACTAATAAAGTTGAAAGATATCTTTGTTTACAACAAAAAAGTTATTCCTTTTGCAAAACCATTCTTTTGATTTTTCTTAAATACCTGCCTCCTTATTTTCTTACCTCCAGTCTTACTTACTGTCATATAACTACTAATCCAGATATTATGTTGATTGGAATCTATCTCTCTGTCTTGCTTGCTACATTATACCTCATGCTTAGTTTGACTCTTTCTTTAGAGTAGACTTGCTAATTTATTAAGAGCCATTTAATGTCTTTCTGTAAGAGCAGCAGTTGTCCTTAGATAGAGCACTCGTTAGATGTAATTACTCACCTTTAGATCTTTTAGTGGGCTCAAAATGAATTTTATAATACTTCTAATGATTTTCACTGTTGGGAAAAATAAGGTAATGTGATCTAAATTATTTACTCAGGCTCATAAAAAATCATTGGCAAAACTCTAAGGCATTCTTATTTCAGACTTTTCATCACATTTATCCACCCATTTATTCACTCTGCAAACATGTTTGGGGTTCCTACTTTGTATGCACACTGTTCCCAGGCACTGAGTGTTGAACCAGACAGATCAGGTCCCCAAGATCCTGGAATGCCCATTTGAATAAGTTGTCATTCTCTGCAACGGGATTAGTCTTTGTACTTACACTACTCTTTTTACTCTGGTTTGAACTACTTTGCACATATAGGATCGGATTATTTCTGCAGGGTGATGTAAACACAAATAATTTTATTTGCTAGTAAAAGAATGAAACTGACCAATTCATTCATATGGGAAACATTTACATATGTTTAGTGTCTGCCAAGCATTATGCTAGGTGCTGGGGAAAAAAGAGCATAACTATTGCATGGTTTCTGTCCTCAGGAAACTCAGAGTCTAGTTAGTCTCCTTAATAGTTCCACCTAGGATTCTAACTCAAAAAATGTGGTTTCCTCTCCATGTCTCTAGTTCTACTGCCCATTTCCCCATTTCAAATAAGACCTACATACACACATATACATATATATGTAATATCTTAAATATTTAAATTTTAATGATAACATTACAACTACTTTTTGCATAGTTCTTTATAGTTATGAAATTTAGTAGTTTAGCTGAATCTCACAACACCCTCATATAGCAATTCCCTACTATCACCCCCCTCATTTCACATATGAGGGCACAGTCCAAGACAGTAAGTGACTAATCTGCCTGAGGTTATGCCCCTTATCATTTTCAGAATTGGAAACTAAGGCCAGGATGTCTTACTACATCCTCATTGTGTTCCACTAATTTACACACAGTAGGTAAGTGACATTAAACTGTTTGACTTTGAAATGTTATTGCAATAAACCTATGACATTAAAAAAATCTATCTAACTGCATTGATATTTCATATTAATGAATCATTTTTGTTAGGCTGTTGCCTGGTACACTCCTATTCACTGGAAGCAAGCGTGGGAGAAATTAGAGACTGACATTGAATTTGACAGACGCTCAGTAGTAAGTACAACATCTCGAAGGCACGTGTTTAATTGGCCAGCAGCTATAACTACAACTAAAGAAAAACAAGATAAATGTAATAAAGATATCTCAAAATATCAGATGGAACGAGTCAGAGTTTTTCTCAAAAGGTAAAAGTTGCTTGGCTTTTTTTTTTTTAATTGAGTCCTTCCCACAATTAGTAACTGAGCAAGTAGAAATGACTGGGTGACAAATAGATACATGATGAATAGGTAAATCAAATAAAAAAATCCTATTTCAAATAGGACCATAAAAGCCATAATACTTTTTGTGTTTTATGAAAAACACAGAGTAAGCAGGGTTATAGTCATGGAACAGTAAAGGTGGTGACTTCTACTAGGCAATATCAAGACCCCTCTGGCCATTTCACTTCTTAGTGGCACTGCTGTTAGAGGCAAGGCTGTGGAGAGGTGAAGAGATGAAATTATCACCATGTCTTTAGCAGTGCTTAGGTGGAGGAAGAGGTACATCATCTAGAAATTTCATCTTGGATCAAGAGCTGGCTTGTGGCTTAAAGTGCAGAATTTATGTCACACTTATCTAGGCAAATGCTTCTGATGTTATAAAAGTGCTGCCAAAAAAAAAAAGGTGCTGCCCAAAGGTCTAAAAAAGCCATATTCTCTGGTCTTAAAACATGCTTTCACTTTAATTGAACCTTCATTGCTAATTCCACTATATAAGATACCTTTTGGGTTCACTTTTGGATTAATTTTTTTTTTAACAGAGAAAAAGAAACCCCACCAAACCCTTTGCCCAATAGCAGCCCTTGGTGCCACAGTCCCAGTGTCCCTGCACATCCCTACGGTACTCTGATTGAAACTTGCAATACGTGCATGACTGAAAGCAGCTTAGATAGACAGCCGAGGCCTCAGTCATCCAGGCCTGATCCAGCCCAGGTAAGTCAAAGGGATACTTACTCCAGTGGAGAGTTAAGGGATGTGGGGGTGTGGGGAGGGAGGGCAAGAAAGGAGGAGGGAGGGTGGGGGAGGGAGGAAGACCTGGTGAAAGGGGTTAAGTGGTAAAATTCACTAAGGACTAAAAACTATTCATATCCTCAAGTATAGATGGCTTCTAAAGCAAATATCTGAAATCATTCACTTACATTTGTTTTAGCACTGTGTCTTCTACTGTTCTTGATAAATGTCTGTTGAATGAATCAATGAGTCAAAAGAATAGTGTGGCCAACAACAGTATATAGGATCCTTGAAGTTTGGTCAAAAGTACATTTGTTTTTCATTAGGCAGGAAAAACTGGCCCTACAAAGTTATGCTGTGTTTAAAGATAAATCCATATGTTCCAAACACATTCTAATTTAATCCCAAATTCTTATTCTTTTTCAACAAGAAGTTTCTTATTTAAGTCATCTAAAGTTTTCAGAGTTGTGTTATTAACCCAGGATCTGTGAATGGATTTCAAGAAGTCCCTGAACTGCTGTATTTGGTACATAAATGTGTGCCTATATGCTGTTTCCTGGGAAAAGAGTTTCATCAGGTGCCCCCTAATGTTTACAGGAAACTAATGAAATCACAATGCCAGATCCTAAGCTGTGGAGAAAGTCTGTTTCATACAGGTGCTATATCCTGTTCAAGCTATAATGATTTGCAAACTTTTATTTAGTAGAAGGACGCTTTTTTAAATGAAATCTTGGGCAGACGCAATATATAAAATGGATAAAAGCAAGCCTGTCCAAGTTGAAGAAAAGATAGCAATTCCCACTGCCCACTACACCCTTTTTCCATCCCATCTTTCCTTGCTTCATCACTCCTTCCCTGTCATCTTTGAGGCACCTCTCTGGAATCACAGAATTCTATACCACAGTATGAAAACCACTGTGTTAGTAAACCAACACATAATTGGAGGTAGCCCCCAAAATAGTAACTTTTAGAAGTGAAATGATGAAAATTATGTAAAGTCCTGAATATATTCCATTTCATAAAATTAAATAACCTATATCTTTGTGCTTGAGTTTCTTCATCTGTCAAGTAAGAGATTTGGTCCAAAATTTAAAGAGTTCTTTCAGCAATAATTTGTACATATAATTTTATGTATAGTACACATAGATACACACTTTAGTACATTACAACTTAGATTTGAGACTCACAAAAAGTACGTGAATTATGTTTTTCTCCAATTAATGATAGTCTTCATTGGGACTATTTGGGAAACAACTTGTTTCCCAAAGAAGTTTGACTTCAAATTTTCTTTTTTTAGTTTTTTAATTCAACTATAATTAACATAAAGTGTTATATTAGTTTCAGGTGTACAATATAATGATTTAAATTTCTGTGCATTACTCAGTGCCCTATATGATAAGTGTACTCATTATTCACCTATTTCATCCATCCCCCCACCCACCTCCTCCCTGGCAACCAATAGTTGGTTCTCTAAATTTAAGAGTCTGTTCATGAATAGATATTACTCTAAAGAAGACATAGAGATGGACAACATGAAAAGATGCTCAACATCACTCATCATCAGGGAAATGCAAATCAAAAACACAATGAGATATCACCGCACACCTGTCAGAATGTCTAAAATAAAAAACTTAAGACACAAGTGTTGGCAAGGACGTGGAGAAAAAGGAACAAAACAAATGAACAAAGGGAAAAGGGACAAACCAAAAAACAGACTCTTAACTATAGAAAACAAACAGATGGTTACCAGAGGGAAGTTGGATGGGGGGATGGGTGAAATAGGTGAAGGGGATTAAGACTACATTTAACTTGATGAGCACTGAGTAATAGATTGAACTGCTGAATAACTATATTATACGTCTGAAACTAATACCACACTGTATGTTAACTATGCTGGTATTACAATAATTTTTTTTTTTAAGATTTTATTTATTTGACAGAGAGAAACACAGTGAGAGAGGGAACACAAGCAGGGGGAGTGGGAGAGGGAGAAGCAGGCTTCCCGCGGAGCAGGGAGCCCGATGCGGGGCTCGATCCCAGGACCCTGGGATCATGACCTGAGCCGAAGGCAGACGCTTAACGACTGAGCCACCCAGGTGCCCTACAATAATTTTTTTTAAAAAGCATCTTTTTGTCTCTTTTATTCTTTGTTCACATGTTTTATTTCTTAAATTCCACATATGAGTGAAATCATATGGTATTTATCTTTCTCTGACAGACTTATTTCACTTAGCATTATGTCCTCTAGATCCATCCATATTGTTGCAAATGGTCATTCATTTTTAAGGTTGAATAATATTCCATTATATATATTTACATACACACATACTATTTCTTTATTTATTCATCTATAATGGACACTTGGGTTGCTTCCATATCTTGGCTACTGTAAATAATGCTGCAATAAACCTAGGGGTGCATATCTTTTTTAATTAGTTTTTTTCATTTTCTTTGGGTAAATATCCAATAGTGAAATTACTGGATCATATGGTAATTTTATTTTCAATTTTTTGAGGAACTTCCATACTGTTTTCCACAGTGGCTGCACCAATTTGCATTCCCACCAACAGTGCACAAGTGTTCCTTCTTCTCCACATCCTCACCAACACTTGTTATTTTTTGTTTTTTTTTATTTTAGCCATTCTGACAGATGTGAGGTGATATTTCATTGTGGTTTTGATTTGCATTACCCCGATAATGAGTGATGTTGAGCATCTTTTCATGTGTCTAGTGCCCATCTGTATGTCTTCTTTGGAAAAATGTCTATTCAGTTCCTATGTCCGTTTTTCAATTGGATTATTTGTTTCTTTGGTGTTCAATTGTTTAAGTTCTTGTTTTTTTTTGAATATTTATTTAAATTCCAGTTATTTAACATACAGTGTAATATTAGTTTCATGTAGAATTTAGTGATTCATCACTTATTTACAACACCCAGTGCTCATCACAGAAAGTGCCCTCCTTAGTACCCATCACCCATTTAACTCATTCCCCTGCCACCTCCCCTCCAGTAACCATCAGTTTGTTCTCTATAGTTAAGAGTCCATTTTCCAGTTTGCCTCTCTTTTTTTCCTTATGTTCATCTGTTTTGTTTCTTGAATTCCACATCAGTGAAGTCACTTATTTCACTTAGCATTATACTCTCTAGCTCCATCCAAATGGTAAGATCTTATTCTTTTTTATGGCTGACTAATATTCCATTGCATATATATACCACATCTTCTTTATTCATTCATCAGTCAATGGACATTTGGGCTCTTTCCATAATTTGACTATTGTTGATAATGCTGCTATAAATATTAGGGTGCATGTATCCCTTCAAACTTAGTAGTGCAATTGTGGAACATAGGGTAGTTCATTTTTAACTTTATGAGGAATCTCTGTACTGTTTTCCAGAGTGGCTGCACCAGTTTGTATTCCCACCATCTGTGTAAGAGATTTCCCCTGTATCTGCATCCTTGCTAACACCTGCTGTTTCCTATGTTGTTAATTTTAGCCATTCTGACAGGTGTGAGGTGATGTCACATTATAGTTTTGATTTGTATTTCCCTAATACTTCCTTTATGTTTATTATTAGCTGCTTTATGTATTTGACTGTTCTCATGTTGGGTGTGTAAATATTTACATTTGTTATATCTTCTTGTTGAATCGTTCCCTTTATGATTACATAGTGTCTTTCTTTGTCTTTTGTTATGGTATTTGTTTTAAAGGCTATTTTGTCTGATATGTATTGCTGCCCCAGCTTTCTTTTCACCTGCACTTGGATGATAAATGCTTTTCAGTCCCTTCACTTTTAATTCAAATGTGTCTTTAGGTCTGAAATGAGTCTCTTGTAGGCAGCATATAAATGGGTCTTGCTTTTTTATCCATTCCATCATCCTATATAGTCTTTTGACTGGAGCATTTAGTCCATTTACATTCAAAGTAATTAGTGATAGGTAAGTATACTTACTGCCATTTTGTTATTTGTTTTATGGTTGTTTTGTAGTTCTCTGTTCCTTTCTTCTCTTGCTCTCTTCTCTCACGTTTTGCTGGCTTTCTTTAGTGATATGCTTGGATTCCTTTCTCCTTATTTTTTCCATATCTATGAGTGGTTTTTGATTTGTGGTTACTACTACGTTTATATATACTATCTTATGCATATAACAGTCTACATTAAATTGATGGTGGCTTAATTTTCAACACATTCTCTACTCCTTCCCCTCCCACATTTTAGGTATATAGTGTTATATTTTCCATTCTTTTATTTTGTTAATCCCTTATCTGATTTTTATAGTTATACTTAATTTTACTGCTTTTGAGCTTTCTACTTTTCTTACTCCTACTTTTGGTCTTTCCTTTCCACTCAGAGTCCCCTTTAACATTACTTGTGGGGCTGGTTTAATGCTCTTGTGTTCCTTTAACTTCTGTTTGTTTGGGAAACTTTTAATCTCTTTTTCTATTCTGAATGATAGCCTTACTGGATAGAATATTTTGGGCTGCAGGTTTTTTCCTTTAAGCACTTTAAATATATCATGCCACTCCCTTTTGGCCTGCAAAGTTTCTGCTAAAAAATCCACTGTTAGCCTTATAGGGTTTCCCTTGTATATAACTGTTTTCTTTTCTTTTTGTGCTTTTAATATTCTCTCTTTCTCACTACTTTTTGCCATTTTAATTACTATGTGTATTAGTGTGGACCTGTTTGGGTTGATCTTGTTGTGGGCTCTCTGTTCCTCCTGGTTTGGGATCTGTTTTCTCCCTGATTTGAGAAGGTTTAAACTATTATTTCTCCAAATAAATTTTCTGCCCCTATTTCTCTCTCTTCTTCTTCTTGGATCCCTATAATACAAATGTTATGTTTCATGGTGTCACTGAGTTTTCTGTCTATTTTCATTTTTTATTATTAGTTTTTTTCTCCTGTTCAGCTTGATTGTTTTCCATTACTCTGTCCTTCAGGTCACTGATCCATTCTTCTGCCTCCTCTAGTCTACCCTTTATTCCATCTA